AGGTACGTCATTTCGACTCGCTAGTGAGTTCTTTTATCATGCCTGACAAGAAAAATAAAAAGCGACCTCTAACCAAAAGAAAGTTAAATTAACTTTTTTTTTAATTCAAGAAATGCGGTATATTAAAACATTTTTTAAATAACTTTCACCCTTTAATAAAATAAAACAAAGTTTTATCTTTTAACTGAAGAAGAGCGGTGTGTTAAAAAATTTTTCAAAGTTACGACCTCTAGCAATCTCGAACCTTCCAAAAATGATTCACATTTCTCTATCTGAACACCTTTTAAGTATTTTCTTTAATTGATTACAGAAACAATAGCATGTAATTCAATGATGTGAAGATAATGTTTTCTCCCGTTGTTGAACGTTTCAAGCTGTTTAGTGATATTAATAAGAGTTTGGTTTGTAAATCACAGAATATGATATTTTCACAAACCCCCGATTTTTATCAATATACGTAGCAGTAAATGAACCAAACAGATGTGAACCGTTAGGGCTAAATGTTGTGTAACTACCCGAGTATCATAATTTTTGCTTAGATTATGCCGTAAGCAGTGCTTAAATCACTAACAAAATAGAAATTCAAACCTAATGACTGTAGGAAACAGTTATCACAAATTATATATATTATTGGTAACGACCAGTAAGATACTCTATGCTATTGAAAATTAAAAATTCATTTAATTCCGAATTTGGTCTAAGGACTACAATACTTCCATTCTTCCGCGAGACTATTGTTGTTTGTTTACGAGGTTAATCTAAGGACTACAATACTTCCATTCTTCCGCGAGACTATTGTTGTTTGTTTACGAGGTTAATCTAAGGACTACAATACTTCCAATCTTCCGCGAGACTATTGTTGTTTGTTTTCGAGTTTGATATAAGAACTACAATACTTCCAATCTTCCGCGAGACTATTGTTGTTTGTTTTCGAGGTTGATCTAAGGACTACAATACTTCCAATCTTCCGCGAGACTATTGTTGTTTGTTTTCGAGGTTGATCTAAGGACTACAATGCTTCCAATCTTCAGCGAGACTATTGTTGTTTGTTTGTTTTAGCGCAAAGCTATATAACGAGCTTTTTGTGCTTTGTCCACGGTGGAGAATGGAGCCTCGGATTTTAGCGTTGCAAGTACTTAAACTTACCATTGACTCATCGGGGGACTTAAACTATGGAAATAATATATTTTTGTTTTTAAATGGTTAATTTACTTTACAAATTGCAATGATTGGAATATATCGTATATTTTAAAGAAACAATAAAGAGTACTAAGATATACAAACAAAATCCGGAATGACAATGTTTTTAAAGAGGAATAATCTTTCCTTACTTTAAAATATTGTATCTCAGATGATACTTATAGAAAGGAATAATCTTCTTAAACCTAAATACCATAGTTACTGCTTATAGAGGGGATCAGCTTTTCTTTTTATTTGCTTTACATCTTAGTCCCAAAATAGGTACTTTGATGAGACTCAATATTTCTACATTTTAAACCTAAATACTATAGTTACTGCTTATTGAAGGGGACAGCTTTTCTTTATTTTTTACTTTAAAAGTTAGTCCCAAAATTAGTGCTTTTGAGGAGACGCAATGTTTCCACACTTTAAACCTAAAGTCCAAAATAACTGCTTTTAAACAGAGACAATGTTTCTCCATCTTAAAGAACTTGTTTGTTTAGAAATTTTGTGCAAACTACACAAGGCCTCCGTACTTTTTAAGTGACAGACAAGAGGAAAGGCAGCTAGTGAACAGCATCTACCGCCAACTCTTATGCTACTCATATCTCACCAAATAGTAGAAAGTCAATATTGCTCTTATAGCGCTACCATTAGTTTAGAAAACGAACCACGAACGCCCGGATTCACAGTCTGGGCATGTTGTCATGCCTGTTTCAAACTAAGTGATAAAGTTATTTCTTTTAAAGGAAGACAAATTACCTCTACTTTACATAATGTTCTATGATGGGTCAGCGGTAATTCACTGATTTATAACGCTAAAATCCAGGGTTCGATTCCTCGCAGTGGAAAGATCATAGAGAGCCTAATGTGTGTGTGGATTTGCGCTAATGCTAACAAACTTTAAATACTAAAGTAACCGCTTTTAAAGAGAGCAAGACTAAATACTAAAGTTACTGCTTTCAAAGAAAGCCAGTCTTTTGATAAAACCTACGTTAGATTATAGATCGTTATTTTTAATATATTTACATTTTTCTTACTATGTATTTACGATTTTCGAATTTTGAATATAAAAATATATTTCGTGGCCAATCTTTTTAACTTTAAAACTGAATATTAAATTTGTTGCTTTTGAAGAAAGCCAATATGTCTTATTTGTTTTTGTTTTTTTTATTAAGCACAGAGCCACATAATGGATTATCTATGCTATGCTTAGCGCGGGTATCAAAACCCGATTTTAAGCTTCATAACCCCCCCTGAGGGTGTGATCTTATGATTGTGGAATTTTATTTAGCTTAAAGAACGCATTTAACTCTTCAATGAATATTGATTTATTTCATTAGGGATTTAAAAATAATTTGAAATGAATTTAAAATCTCATGTTGTTTTTCTTTCTAAATAGAAATAGCTCTAAGATTTGCGATGTGGTATTTAATTCTTAAATTAATATCTAATATGAAACGTAAAACTTTTCAAATGGCTGCACTGTTTGGTTTCAATCATAGCTGATGATATAGGAGATGAACATGGAACTTATCCTCTTAAAAAGGCCATTCACTGTTACGTGATTAAATAAAATTACAAATACACTTTCCAGAGACTCTTTATATTGAATCTAAAAGAAATAGATGATGTTAAATATATATATATATTTACGCTGATCTAAAGCCCTAAAATATCCTGTATACATTAGCGATATTATACAAGCTTTGAGTGAGAAAGAAAAGACCTCGCTTCCTCTCCGGGCTTGTTTCAATAATCTACAAACCATCCCCGGAACAAATTAATTCCCTTTCAGAAAACTCCTTTTACTTCCTTATCGCAGTGTTACCGCAAACGGAACCGACAAGGGAAGAAAGCGCGTCCGGAAACTAGCGCTTGGTTCGCTTCAGTAAGCGATCGCTGCTCAGCACTTGGTTCTGGCCACGGATCCTGAACGTTCTTGCGGATTATCTATGAGGATAATTTGAATTCGCCTTCTCCCCAACTCCGTTTCTATTCCACTCCTTTCCAGCCCAAGTAGACTTGACACTTTCATCCATATATTTATGAAGTAAGCTCCTTATCAAATTATCCACGCCTATGAATGCGACTGGCTGGATCCGTCTGAAAAGGAGATCTATCTAAGCTTACATCCAACCATGATGGGTATTTGCTGATGTATGTGTCATTCGAATTTGTCACTTATACGGTTCTTCTTCTCAGAAACAAAACTGAAATGTCACTTATAACTGCGTGACAAATACGTGACCGTGGCCAGGATCCATTTCTGATATAAAATTCTCGAGAATGAAAACCTAAATTGTTACAGAAAACAACTTAAAAGTAATATATTGGAAGAATTGTATTCAAGGAAAAAAAAGTACGAACAATGTTTAGTCACAGTACTTTTTTTTTCTTCTCAGACTTACAAGATCAGATATTGAAAAAGAACAACCACCATCAGATATATGTTATTGTTCGTAAGAAAATTTTTTTTGCTGAGTAGATTTATTTGTTTGTTCATTTCCGAATTTTCGAACAAAGCTACACAAAGGGATATCTGCTCTTGACCGTCCCCATTGTTGAACTGATAGACTAGAGGGAAGGAAGCTAGTCAACAACACCCACCGCCAACTCTTTGATTACTTTTTCTACCGAATAGTGGGCTTTGGTTTGTTTTGAATTTCGCGCAAAGCTACACGAAGACTATCTTCGCTAGCCGCCCCTAATTTAACAGGAAAGACTATAGGGAAGGCAGCTAGTCATCACCACCCATCGCCAACTCTTGGACTACTATAGTGGAAGTGACCATCACTTATAACGCGCCCACGGCTGAAAGGGCGAGCATGTTTGGTGGGACGGGGATTCGAACCCGCGACCCCCAGATTACGAGACGAGCGTTCTAGCCATCTAGCCATGCCGGGCCTAGTGGGCTTTGACTGCCACTCTTATAACGCCCTTACCGCCCCAAAGTGCGGAACGTGTTTTTATAGCAACGGGCCTCAAACCGTGAATCCTCGGATTCATGTTTCGATCACGTTAATCAACAGGCTACGCATGGCCCGAGCAGTATATAAAAACATATAATTTCAAGAATTCGATTTCGTTGCTTTGTTTGAAATCATAGTTTTTATCTTAATGAGACATTCATTTTACAGACATGAGTAAAAATAATGAATTAATTGTGTCAAGCTGGTAAATGTGAAATATATTCACATTTTTTATTGTATTCACTTACTTTTCACAATTTAAATTTTATTCGTAAAAGTTTTGTCTGAAATTTTAATTTTGGTTTTTGGTAACAAACGAAACTACATTTATAATAAGGTTCTACTTGGGGTGTATCTTTGCCCTTATTTATTTGGAATATAAATGACGAGATCAAATGCACCTGGAAAGCCATTCAATTATGATGAATGGGATCTAGGATCAGGTAGCCAAGGTCTCTGAACTTAAATTTAGCACTGGAGTTTGTGCTTTTGGACCCCCTGAAGATCCTGGGGGTGCCATTTTTGAAACTGTATTTATGCCTCCAATACTAGTTAGCGGGACCAAACTTGACGCACAAGCATACCTGGAGTGGGTTTCCTAACAGTTTTTTTTCTAGGGGTAGTTATAGAAATACTTGGGGATAGTGGAGGAGCTTAATCAATATTCTGGGGCTTCTGTGAATCATGAGGGAGCCTTTGACCCTGCAGCGGAGCCTGAGTATTTTATGCTCATTATCATTATTTTATGGGAGTCAAAGTTAGTATGTTTTGGATCACTAACTGCTGAAAGTCAAATCATGTTTTAGATCATTACTCTGCTGAGAGTCAAAGCTTGTATGTTTTGGATCATTATCCTGCTGAGTCAAAGCTAGTATATTTTGGATCATTATTCTGCTGAGAGTCAAAGTTAGCATGTTTTGGATCATTATCCTGCTGAGAGTCAAATTTAGTATATTTTGGATCATTATTCTGCTGAGAGTCAAAGTTAGCATGTTTTGAATCATTATCCTGCTGAGAGTCAAAGCTAATATATTTTGGATCATTATCCTGCTGAGAGTCAAAGCTAGTATATTTAGGATCACTATCCTGCTGAGAGTCAAAGCTAATATATTTTGGATCATTATCCTGCTGAGAGTCAAAGCTAGTATGTTTTGGATCATTATTCTGCTGAGAGTCAAAGTTAGCATATTTTGGATCATTATCCTGCTGAGAGTCAAAGCTAGTATATTTTGGATCATTATTCTGCTGAGAGTCAAAGTTAACATGTTTTGGATCATTATACTGCTGAGAGTCAAAGCTAGTATATTTTGGATCATTATCCTGCTGAGAGTCAAAGCTGGTATATTTTGGATCATTATTCTGCTTATAATCAAAGTTAGCATGTTTCGGATCATTATTCTGCTTAGAGTCAAAGTTAGCATATTTTGGATCATTATCTTGCTGAGAGTCTAAGCTAGTATATTTTGGATTATTATTCTGCTGAGAGTCAAAGTTAGCATGTTTTGGATAATTATTCTGCTGAGAGTGAAAGCTGGTATATTTTTTATCATTACTCTGCTGAGAGTCAAAGCTGGTATATTTTGGATCATTATTCTGCTGAGAGTCAAAGTTAGCATGTTTTGGATCATTATTCTGTTGAGAGTGAAAGCTGGTATATTTTTGATCATTACTCTGCTGAGAGTCAAAGCTAAAGAATTAAGTGTCGTTCACTGGTTTGTATGGTCAACCAGGACGTTGTGGTTCTGCTCCCTCTTCATAATACCATCAATTTCAAAAATATTTCTTACTCTTGAAGGAGAAAAACACCTCACCCTATAGTCTGTTTTCTAACACACAATCTCTGTTAATTTGAATAAGAATCTGTGACGTAGAGGCCTAATGCTTTCTTTTGATTGGCCGTGCCCTCTTCTGTGGACTGCCTTTTCAAGGCTCATCAGCACAGCTTGGGCTGACAAACCAAAGAAATACAGTTAGGCCTTTTATAATATGTGCTGATGAACCTTGGATAAGTGAAACTACATTTCACAGCAGAGTGTACAGCCAATCAAAAGAAAGCATTAGGCCTCTACGTCACAGATTCTCTTTTGAATTTTACCTTTGATGAGAATAAAAATAAATATGTAACATATATATAAATCATCAACTGCCATGTTTTTAAGAACTTATGGATACATTCCCAGGAAGATTAAACTTGTCTTTATGAAATTTCCCTGATATTTATGTCCCTGTTTTGTGATTCGTAATACTCTTCACAATACGAGTATTAATTTTATGCTATCCAATTTTCCTGGAATTCAAAGTTTTTCTCCTATCTTACAAGTTGTCATTACTGCAGCCTCAAATTTTTCGGGGAGTTCTCTCCCAATCACCTCTTTTAACTTTGTAACAGTAACGTTTTTGTTTCAAACTACGTATATGACTCTTTCCTGTCTGTCCCCCCGAGTCAGCATTAAGTTTACAGACTTGCAAAGCAAAAATCCGAGGTTCAATTCCTGCGCTGGACAGAGTGCACATAGCCCATTGTGTAACTTTGCCCTAAAAAAACAACAACCTTCATGTCTAATCCTCTATATTATTCAATAAATATATTTTAGCTGGTTACTATCACAATTTTGGTTTTTTTGTTTGTTTGAAGTTAAGCAGAAAGCTACACAATGGGCTATCTGTGCTCTA